CGTCAGACAGCGGGAAATGAGAAGACAGGGATATCCTGGACCGTGCGACGTCAAGAACCTAGAAGACCTGGATTTCGCGCGTGGATGATTTATGTTTGATGTCACACAAAGTCGAAGACTTACAAGCGAAAACCGACAAACTGGTCGAAGAAGCAGCCGGCGAAGATAGGACTCCAGGTGAACATTGACAAAACGGAGGTTATGAAAATCACCAACCAACAACAACAGCAGCAATATCCAGCGCCAATCACCATCAAAGGGAGGGATTTGAAAGAGATTACTTCATTCACTTATCTAGGGAGCATTGTCTCAACTACAGGCAGCCGGAACGGACGAGGTTGTCAAAACGAGCGAGATTCGGGAAGGCGAGAAACGCACACATTCATCAACCTGAAACCAATCTGGAAATCTTCGTCACTCACTCAGCCAGCATCACCAACAAAATTCAGTTGGATTTTCAATACAAACGTCAAGTCAGTTCTTCTATACGGAAGGGATCAGAAACTTGGCGGGCGGGTCACAAAGAACATTTCCAACAGGCTATTGCAGACCTTTATCAACCGACGACTGTCTTCACTCTATACTGAAGATCAGATGGCCGAGCCGGAAAGAATCACCAACTATGGAAAACTATGCTAACAAACAAAACAAGAACCAATCGCCGACCAACAAATATGCAGGAGAAAGTGGAAATGAGATGGATCGGACACTCACTGAGGAGGCCGCTGGGTGACATCGGGAGCACGTCAGGCCATTGCTCGAGTGGAATCAGGCCTAAAGGGAAGCGGCGAGTGGGACTTCAGTGCAAGGGTGAAATGGAGGAGATGGTGTGAAGAGGAGTTGAAACAGTATAGACTAACATGGATGCAGATGAAAAGTACAGCAGAAGACAAAAGCAAGTGAAGACGTTCAGTTGAACCCCTATGTTCCACTAGGAACCCAAGGGAACAATAATAATAATAAATAATCCCTTTGTCTTCTGAATTTCTAAATGAATATTTTTACTATACAGCACAGAGAGAAAGAGAAAATATAAAAAAGAATAGAATTTATGCCATCTGTGAGAAGTTGTTCACACAATCGACTTGTTGAATAATTTGTATATAAAAACAACCATATTACTGGCAGTTTTCAAGTATACTACTTTATTTAATGCAGTTAGTCAGTCGGCCACACCGAAAGAAGAAGAAGAAACTGAGACTCATGATCCTTATTTATTTCAGACTTACAGATCTACTCTGTTAGAGTATTTGAACTAATTCTTCTTTAAATCATAAAACCAACGTTACTTAGATATTCATTGGTAACCAAGATCTATTGAACACCTATTTCATCTTTATTTATTTTATTATTCCATTAGGATCCAAGTGGAACATAGAGCTGGCTTCAGCAACACATCTCCACTTTGTCCTATCTTCTGCTACCCTCTTCAGCTTGGACCACGATTGCCCACAATCTCTCATCTAACCCAACTCACAAGATCTCCTCCATGCCCTTTCTCGCACTAACGACCCACTCGTCGCTTCCCATTGGTATTACACTCGAGAGATGGCCTGCATTGCGCGCGATGTCATTCAACGGTCTCCCCAATGTATGCCCGATGCATCTCCATTTTCTTCTACATATTTACTGAGCGATCGGCTCTTGCTTGTTTCACTGCAGAGTTTCTTGCTGCTAATGCTTTCTGGCCATTTGATATTCATTATGTAGGTGGTGAAGACGACTTTTTCTAAAAGTCTGTGAAAGGCTGTTGGAAATCCTTTTTGTATCACACTGGTCATGTTTCCGACCCGTATAGAAGGACCGACTTCACATTGGTGTTGAAAATGCGAATCTTGTTCCTTATGTTGAATGCATAATATTTCCAAATTGGTTTCAGGTTGATGAAGCTGTATCTTGCCTTTCCGATTCTGACTTTGACATCTTCCTCCGTTCCGTCTGAAGTTGAAACGATGCCTTCCAGACAAGTGAAGGTGGTAACCTCTGTTAAATCTCTCCCGTTGATGGTGATTGACGCCAGTTGTTGTTACAGTGACTTTTCAAACCACTATCCATTTTGTGAAGAAATGGAACATCAATCTTCAGATTTCTAGATGAACACGCTGTTCATAGGCTACTGGATTAGACTTTAACTTCTAACGATTTCAAGCTTACTCACGAATTGAATTCACCTAGAGGACCACCAAAAAATAGGAAGTATTGGGCGGTTATTCTGTCCTAGTTTGGAACTGTTCTTCAGTACGTATCCAATACCCCATCGGTGATCAGTTTCAAGACCTTCAGGTTACAGGGTGGGCTGGTTGACCATCCGCCACCCCGACAAAATCCAGTGTTCCATTAACTTCAACTTCTATTGATTCATAATGTAAGGTGCCACCGACAATCAGAGTAATCGGTGAGTACTGGTCCTCACCCACCCACCCCCCGACACCCAACTTGGTGGACCTAGCTGGTCACAACTTCTCACTTGACCTTCAAACAATTATATTCTGTGTTGGTTTGCAGGGGTTTGATCGATTTCTTTCTGAAAAATAATAGTAAAGGGCTAAAACTTGCAAGGTTTTTATATCTGACACACTTAAATACTCAAAGAGGGCTTCTTCAGTGTTTTCTCACCGCCTGAACTACTCTAAAGCATACTGAGTGTTGAAATTACTTTGACCTTAATAAACGGAATTATACGATCCGTTTGTGGTAATCTCTGCGACATTTTCTTAACTTCATGAAGACTCAAGCAATCTGTGACAGACATCAAACAGAAGGAGTCTTGTTTAATTCTAATGTTACATTCAAAATCTCAGTCAATTTAGTCAACTAGAGTTGCAGTGAGAGCTAGTTGCAAGTCAAAAACTGTAGACAGCAGTTGACGTCAATATTTATGTCCCGAATAGGGGTCATGAGACAAAAACAATAACAAAGCTTAATCTTGAGGAACTCACCAAACAATCAAGGAGAATTAACATGTGCAAATACGATTCGCAGATACGTGGCTTAACTTTCTAAGAAACGGTCACAAGCAGTACAGAATAACCTTCAACAAGGAAACAGCCAATCAGAAGAAGTTGCTTCTTTGCTAACAATAACGCTAATAATAATGATTTTGTCAACAAACGATCTGTTGCCTGGCCCTTGTCTGTTGTTGTTACACCCTGAGTATCCAGACTTTAATGGCTCTGATAGTGTGTTAGATCTTGTTTTAAACTTACTAGTATCCTTCTTAATTTATCGAAACATAGGACACCGTCAGTGTGTTTCACATTACAACCTAGAGATGCTTACTGTATTATTTTATAGCATTTCACGAGGCGTCAAGTGTTAGGTGAGCACAGAAGTTTTGAAGTAGAATCGACGGAGATGGCTAGGACACATGTGTTACGCATGTCAAAACCAATGCCTTCCTTATCGGACGATGTCGGCTGTGGCAGGTTTGAGTTGGAGACGAGTTAAGAGTTGTCATCAAAACAAAACTTGGCATCAATACAGGATGTTTGACAGCCAATGTATTGGGTGGGGTGTAGACTACCTCTCTGGAGCCCTAGAGAATGTTAATAACACCGGTTAAATTTATTGTCAATGGGGAACAGATGCATTCGCTTTCTGTGTGATTTGAAAGATCATTTTAGGCGAGTTTGACAACGGGTTGATATCAGTTAGAGAACTATTGAAAACCACCATGGACAGCTGTTTCATCCTAGTTTGAGAATCATTGGCAGTGAGCACTCGCCACAGGGGTTCGAATTCAGGACCTTCCGGTTACAAGGCAAGCTAGTTTATATACCGTTCAGCCACTGGACCCGATTCAATAGCTAGCCCATGAATTCTAACTTCTACCAATTCGTGATGTATATGGCGCGAGCACCAACCCATGTCATTGGTGGGAAATTCATCCATCCTCACACTTGACTGGATGGACCTCACTGGTGGTGATATCTCACTAGAAATCTAAGAAACTCTGTGCTGTAGCAAGTCACTCGCGAGCATCAGATTAATTTTCGAGGATTCTTTTGTAAGGATTAGATTAGTTTGACCACGGATTAATATCAGTTAGAAAATCAGTGAAAACCAACCAAGGCGTACTGGACACCTCATTTTTGATATGTAGTCATATGATGTGTGTTTTGTTTTTGACAGTCTGTTGTATTTTGCTGTGTGTATATTGATCGATATTTCGTTATAACTGACAATATGCTTTGTCTGTTCATTAACTCAATAAACAATGTATGACCTTTTTATCACATGACATTACAACCAATCAGAATCCAATCATGGTAAGAAAAACTATCTATCTGTCTTATTGGTTCATGTATATTAGCCATTTTCATATATACTTTTGCATTGTACGCTTTTATACTTTTGTTCACACATTTCGTACACTACTTACCCTTCACTCTCACACTTGTGTGACAATCATTATTTTCCTTGTTGAAAAATACAAATATCATCGTGAACGTGGTGGTCTTCTGATTTTTCCTCTTTTCGCGTCAGGACTATTAACACTACTCGACGAGTGCATAAAATCTTTTGCAAACCAACTCTTGAAAATTTGTAAGATCAACTAACTAACACCTAATGATTCTATTCTTCCCTGCCTTTGTGTGCTGTACAGAGTTTTCTTTCCTTCACGTTCACTAGTGGAAAACATAGGGCTGCAAGCTAGTGGCTTGAAGTCTCTGTAGCAGTGTTTATTTTACAGGATGGGGTTGTTGCCTGCCTCATGCCCAGTCTTTCCTCATTACAAGCATTATCTCTGGCTTAGCGAGGTAAAGCAGTGCGACTGTGGCCGGGGATCGAACCCCGGACCATGTGGATGGTTGGCGAGAGTTCTAACCGCTTTGCCACGGACGCTTAGCAACTTAAACTGCTGCATCTTTGTACAGAGTTCTATATAAAAAGTTTGGTTCAATTTTACATAGTTATAGACAACCTGGTTTCATAGACGATTGGTATTATTATAAACTATTACTGTTATTACTATAGTATTATTATTTAGGCAAACTCAAGCTTTCACTAATTAAGAACGACAAGTTTGTGTACATATTTATGCCAGAGAATACTAGCATACTTTATTGTTTAGGTATAAAGCTTCATCTACTCTTGTTATACAATACACATTGAATATTGGTTGAATAAGGTATCACTGAAGTAATAAAACAAATAAAAGCAAGTTTCATTTAGAGTCTTCAACATTTCTCTTCTGACAATTAACGACTATATCCATGTGACACTTTCATATGATTCAATGTTGGTAATTTTAACGATGATGGTTTATACTGATGATTATTATACTCTGGAGTGGATAAACGCGTCAATTCAATACAAGCCCGTCGAGCTCTTTCATTCAACCATTTAGCTATCCTCTCTGATGCTTTAGGCTCTTTCGACGGACATATTGGTTTTTGAATTCCATGCTGTTCATAGTATTCATCTGTTCTATAGGCAAGTTCTTCATTGATATCACCAACTCCAATATTAATATCGAATTGTAGAAGTTGTGGTCCACGCATCCATGGAGTCAGTGCAATGATCGCTTCATCTAGTGTATAGTGGATCTGAATCATTTTAGTATGTTTACCAATTCGACATTCACTAGAATGACTAACAGCCTCAGATATTGAAAATAAAACTATATGACATGCTTGACAGGTGAATGTTTCCAGCAGTGCCATAGGTTGTAGAAATAGACGTTCATAACGTTCTCTTCTAGGACACGGATGTGACAGGAATTGATCGAACCATCGAAATACTTCTTTACATATACTACACAAGAATTTCACTTGACGTGCTGGCAAATAAGGATTAGACATAACATCAATTGTCCATCTTTTCAACGCCAGTCTTATCAATTCTGGTGTATTCAACCGAATAAATGTAAATATTAATGATGAACACGATTTCCCATGCTCTGTAAATTCTTCAAAATTATAAAATAAACAATGACATTCATTACAAAAGAACATAATCTCTAAACTTAACGGTGTAATCAATTTTCCCGCCACACATGGATGATAAAAATATTCAACAAGGCTTGGTTGTTTAAAACCACACAGGAAACAATTCACTGATATATCAGGTCCACGTGGTAATGGATCAGGTGGCAGTGGTATGACCCCAGGCGGTTCACCTGGTCGACGTTCTTTAAATGCTCCACCATGATGTAAATGATAATCAAATTCATAACAATGTCGACCAAGAACAAATTGTTGATTGGCTAATTCAGTTAGACTAACAGAAAAATCAATACAAAATGCTCTGTCTTCACGACAATACGGTAAATGAGTAGTATACTGCTTTTCATTTAAAAATACAAAATGACATTCAATACACGTTTTTAAACGTCTAATTAGTACTGGTGGTAATAAAGCGAATTGAAAACATGAATGTAATAGATATTGAAGTTTTGTTTTAAACATATTACTACATTTACTACAACGTACAATAAATTGCCATTCTGGTTCATGTGGTTTACTCTCCCAATCTTGTCGACGATTCCATGCTATATAGAAATTAAAATGATCTGTATAAGTGATTGGGAGAACTTCTTCAACTTCATGATACATTTGTTCATAACATTTTTTATGATTATTACATTTATGTAAATTATAATCTGCATGTGAATAAAATACTTGATTACATGTACGACAGGCGAAGGCTTGTGTTTCGCCTAAATGAAATCTAGCTAAATAATATTTACGCCAACAAGAATGTTCAATAAATTTTTGAAATGAATGTAATGTTATCTTGCATACTGGACAAGAATAATTGACAAATTGATAGATTGGCCAATCATCATTTGTTGAAACAAGTTTACGTTTAATATTTTTAATTTGAAGTGGTGGAGGGATTTCTAATTTTGTTGGTGAACTTTTTTTATTTGGACTTTTCTTTTTTTTATCTTTTTTACTACTTCCAGGAGATCCTTTTTTTGGAGAATCTTTATTACTTCCACTTTTTTTAGGTGAACTTTTTGGCATTTTATTTTGTTGAAGAAATAAATATGTTTTCTTTTACTGTAAAAATTTTAAATACAACACCAATGTGTTCATTGTGTTCAATAGATATGTTGTTTTCTTTCTACTAAAGTGTTTTTATTGATTTCTCTTTGAGGTAAATCAATAAAGCTGACTGTTTAAATGAATCTATCACATGACAGATGTATAAAATATCAACATTAACATAAATGATATTGAATGACCTGAATTTGTTGAAAATTGTTAACGGATAATGTGAGATTAAATAATGCACATGAACGAGTGGCTAAATGTAGCGTCGTTGTCCTTTTTTGTGGTTGTGTAATGACACACTGTATATTTTTCGTATGCTTTTAAAATGAAATTTTGCATTAGAAACATTTTTTTCTGATAAACACATTATCAGAAAGGCAAGATATGCCTTCATCTACCTGAAACCAGTTTGGGAATCTTCACCCCTCGGTGTTAAGAACCAAATTCGGATTTTCAAAGCAAATGTAAAGTCAGTCAGTCAATCCTTCTATATTGGTCTGAAACTTGCAGTTCACGTGACGAAGAGGATTCAGACAAGTTACAAACTACTATCAATAACTGCCTTCTTCGTTGGCTCCATATTGAAGATCAAATGGCCAGCCGGACAGTCCGTCAGAAAGAATTAGCAACAAGATACTCTGGCTGGCGAAAAAAACCAGCAAGCAAGAGCCGATTGCTCAACAAATGTGTGCGAGAAGATGGAGTTTGATCGAGCATACGCTGAGGAAACTGTTGAATGAGATCGCGCTCAATGCAAGCCATCCATCGCTCGAGTGGAACCCGAATGGTAAATTACGACGTGTGCGTAAGTCCGAGGGTGACATGGAGGAGATGAGAGACTATGGCCAATCGTGGAGCTAGCCAGCTGAAGACGACGACAGAAAATAGAACAAAGTGGAGATGTGTTGTTGAAGCCTTTTGTTCCTTTGGGAACCCAAGGAAATAATAACAATATTATTTGTGACATTAAATTCTTGAACTGCGTTACACTTGCTTCACTTTTATCAGAAAATGTTGCCTGCGTAACCTAACGGATTAAAGGAGCAGCAGGTTTACTGATGTTTGCAATTGTATTAAAACAGCCGGATCTTTATGTGAAAAAGAAACAGGTTCAATCACTATTTCTACCCTGACCTATTGTGAAATCGGCAAAGTTCGATAACAGCGTCCCAAGGGATGCGAACGCACGAGTGACCTCGAGCCGACTAATCATAAAAATGAGGATTTTTTGCACAAAAAATGACGTATATTTATAAGAAAAAATGCATGAAAACACATTAAATGGGGTATTTTTCTCTGACATGACTTAAAAATACGTTCCAGTTATAATGAGGAGTGTTAGTTGCTAAGTTAGACTAGTTTCTGTACATGTATTCACAGAGGAGACTGAAGATGAGCTGTTTTTGTGAATCATTTATCTCTCTTTTACTGTTGTGCAGTGCTCCCTTAAGCCCAGTGAGAAGATCGACAACTACTAACCAAGAAAATGTGGATAATGAAACAAATTCATATGAATGACATCAACTCTAAATCTATTCCTAATCGTATACCTAACCTTAATCCTAACCATAATTCCATCCCTTATCCTTACCGTAAACCTAACCCTAATTATGACCTTGATCCTAAACCTAACCCCAATGAGCTATCAACACAGGCAAAGTTAAACTTTCGACACCACTAACAACCAATCAGCAAACGACCTTGAACGGACCAGTCACATTAAAGAGGCATATATGATGAATGGAAGTGTATATTTGTAGAAGAAAGCATAAAATAGAGAATAAAAAAGTTACATGGGATATCTTTCTCGAACATGTGAGAGAAAAATCTCCCAGTTTAGCATGGGACTGTCAATGGAGAAGTTACACCACATCCTGTACAAATATTCATCCAAATGACCATAAATGAGATCCATTTATAGCCCTTATCCTATTTTTCAACCTGCCCCAAAATCTTTCAATAGAATTTGTATGTGTCCTCGTAACGGGATCCACAAAATCACTTGAATGGTTGACTCTATGATGAATATATCCCAGAGATGACAGTGAATTGTAGCCTTTTCACTCGTCGGTGTGTATAATTGACCCCCGCTTAACAAGTCTGGTAATAATAGGTATAAGAGTAGTTGCTTTTCTATCTGCTATCCTTAGGGAGAGAAGCGACCTAGCAAAAAAAGTTCCTACGAAATATTACAATTATCAGCTTACTCTCTCTAGCGTTAGTAGGCTTCAAACATATAGCACAATGATGAACAAACCCATCAGTTGATTTGGTATAGCTTTGTAAAGTCATGATACCACCACACAAACAAATTCGCTCTTTCCGGCGCAACTCAAATCCAGGGAACACTGGAAAACGCTAACCTCGAATTGCAACAATAGCTTTGTAAGGTCACGCATTAGAAATGAATCAAGCGCTATACAACATTGAACTGCGTTCGTGAACCTCATTGGATAATTCAACATCGTTCATGAATTTCATTGGATAATCCGCTGATTGGTAGTTAGTGGTGTCGAAAGTTTAACTTCGCCTCAACACATTGCCCAAACAGTACTTAAAAACATGATCTGGGTCAGATTTACCCTTTAGTTAGTAAATAGCGTTAATATTTCAGCTATGATAATGACAGATACATGAGTTCAAGGTCATTGAAGCGTTCGCACTCCTGGGACGCTGTTGTTGAACTTCGCCCCAAAAGCCTATAAATTCATGACTTCTTTATTATTTGACTTACTTTATCTGATATTCAAATGGGTCTAATATTAGAAACATTTATTTCCCGATACGAATTTAAAACAAGCAATAAAGGCTAATAAAGCAGGATTTAGTGAATCTATCGAATTTCGGTAGAACTCGTCAGCCGAATACTCTACATACGCGGATACATGTACTATTGAAATTGCATTGCAAAAGATATACATTGAATTAGTCATGCAGAAAGACAGGTGCGAATCTTTTCCAGGTCATGTTCAAATATATAAGGGGAGAGAGGGTATGAGAGATCAAAATTAAGATCAAATGCATTACGCTTCAATTACACCAGTTAGATAAACAATTAGACATTAGGGAATATAACAAGAATTGCAAACAGAGTAATATCAGTAGTAATAGTTACAATAACAATAATAATAGTGTTGAAGTGAGTTAAGATAACCCTACTGATAAAGGATAGTTTTAAATGAATCAAGAATAATAATAATGATAAGAGGTAGAATAATAAGTAAAACGTAATGCCATGATAGACTCAGAGTCACGACCATCTCCTTTTGTACACAGAGACCTGGTTTATAAACTCGAATTGCACAAGCCTCTGCAATTGTAAGCATCTTCGTGTCTCTTTGTCTACTGACAACAGTGAATGACTTGACAGTTTCAATATTACGTCAGTAGTCCATGAGATGCTTTGCTACTGAACTGCTTGGTACCTAGAATTCAGATGATTACAACCACTCTGGTGAATGTTCCATCACGCGAGTAGACAATCACCTTTCTGTACGAACTATGTATTTGTTTCCACAAATACACTCAAACTGATATATACTCGCTTTGAAGTGTCGAGGATTGGTGACTAGTCTTTCCCAAATTGTTGTAGCACGCACATGGCGGTGGTGTTAGGGAAGACGAATTTTGAAGCATAGTAAGTACTCTTGGTAGCTCCGTCGAGTCTTCGTTTGACTACTTCTTGTACATTATCTCCTTTGGACGGTACAGATTTCTTTGGAACTGCTTGGACAGTTTTACTGGGGATCATTTCTTTAGAGTATTTATTGATGAACTTCTCAGGATATGTATTCTTAGTAATAAATATCCTTCAGAACTTTTATTTCATGCTCAATTGTACTATCAGAACAAATTTTCCGTGCTCTATTGAAGATTTCAATATAGAAAAAATCCCCATTTAGACATTCGTTAATTATCAACCCATTGACATTTTGGCACTCTTTAATTATTGTTAACAAACATATCAGTGCCACTTGATTGGTAAACTGTTGTGTTGTATTGTAATAAAAATGCTATATATGTATTAGAGTAGAGCCAGAGATAAGGACCTAATTGAAAAGTAAATATTTCTTCGCCCGCTCAATCTTTCTGTTCTCTATGGAAGAGTCTCCTGACTAAGTTCTTTTTAAACTGGATTGGGAACAAAACTTTTAAAATGCATGTACTGTCCTGTTCATGAAGACTTTCACGTCCTGTTATTTCAATTGAAAATACAAATTTTTGAAAAAGATTTGGATTCAAAAATGCAACAGACCTGTGTTTGTCATTTTCTAGTCAACGAATGATTAGGACTCAAATGAAGGATAAGTTCAATAGTTTTGCCAGCCACATCTATGTGCATTTATCAATTCAGCTCCACCTGTGGTGAAAATTGTGTTAAGCGTACTTTAAGACATCTGAGTCAACACGTGTTGCTGAACATCTTACATTGTGGTGATTTGGCAAAGGACAGACAAAAACCATCTGGAGCTCCATTTTGTCACATTTAGTTGATAGTTACTATTTGGTATCCCACCTAATCTTCCCATTGGAGTTCATATTCGTCTATTGCACATAGTTGAGGTGAAAGACATTCGAGCTGTATTTAGCTTAAACGATGCAATCAAAAGAAATTTGTACAGTCATTATTCCTCCGTTGATCAATTAAGACGTGATGGCGTCGCCACCATTTTGTTTTATTCCTTTACGTTCCCAGTGGAACACATAGGGTTTCAAGCTAGAGACTTGAAGTTTCGGCAACAGTGGTGATTATTCTTACGGGATGGAGTTGCTAGCCTCATGCCCAACCTTCCCTCTTTATCAATAGTATTACTGGCTTAGCGAGGTAAAGGGGTGCGTCAGCGGGGATCGAACCCTCGGCGGGGACCACATGCGTGGTTGGCGAGCATTCTCCCGCTGTGCCACCGACGTTACAACCACTCCTTACTTATATTTTGAGTCCCTCACTTATCATCCTTTAATCTTCTCACATCTTCACTAAAACGTAGTTTATTTATTTCCCTTACAATCTAGCATTACTTAATCGGTTCATTCGTCTTTCTTGGCCTTTGTCGACTACTATGTCTACTTGAACAGTCGTTTGTTTAATCATGCTGTTTTTCGTTATTCTTGTTATCACAGATCGCCTCACTTTTTCATCTTTGTTATTGACAGAACCATTATTGTTGATATGTATTATTAGTACTATTGTAACAATTCGTGACGTAAACATTGACGTAAATTGTTGCCTACAATTTTGGCTTGCAGACAGCTCTTACCACACTATGA